ACATTTGTACTAAAATGTCAATTACCACTTGAAACTCTCGAGTTTTGGCTCCACATGAAAGAACAAAAAATCAACCCCAGACATAAATTATCAATAAAGCTGCTACACTATTGTCTATAAAACCTGTTTCACAAAATGAAATAGATTTTAAGTATTGTAAAAATGTGTTGTCAAATTTAGGTATGTCAACACACTTTTTTGAATGCATGAAATTTTCATTCGAGATCCCTCCTATAGAAGTTCCAAAAGGTTGGCAGGCATGCTGTACAAAAGGTATGATCTGGTATGTTATCAGTGAAAACAGATTTGATTGTTCAATATTTTAATCTTAGTCTTCCTATCTTTATCTCATATAATACCAAAATATCTGCTGGTAGATATATATACATATCACATGCACCTGCTGCTGCCTACAGTAAGTAATTAAACACTATCCCTGTATCTTTAGGATGCCTGGAGTTGAATGTCACAAAGACATACCGCTCTGTACCTAATGACCTCTGCTTGAAGTTCAGTAGGTTTTCCCCGAGAGATCTGACCACAAGAAGTTATATAAAAATGATGTCACCCCCGAATTAATGGACCACTGTACCTTCTGACCTATATAAAGATATAGCATCAGTGCTTACATTTCTTAATTCCTCTTCCTAACCCTCATATTCTAAAATCCCAAGTAAAAAATGTTTCACATATGAAGCCAAATCAAATGAAAAAAAAACCAGTTTAATACACATATCACATTTTGATATGTAATTTTTGTATATATCTATGTATTTTCTAGCAGATGCAGCACTGAAATTTTTATATTGGCAGCGTCATGCAGAAACACATACTCTTAAAATGAATAATGATTCCTTTCCATTACTAATTAAGTCTCGCAAGAACATACATTTTATCAGAGTATATAAACATTGTGTCACATTTAATATACATCTCATATAATTTGCGGTTGAGAGGTTTTATAATGTTATGTAAAGTGAGGATCAAGGTCCATGGACAAACTCAGTAGGTAGGTGGCAATGATACCTCATAGAATCAAACTCCACAAATGTTTTGATTGGCTGACAAAGCGAACTTTGACCCTGAAGAGCACTTCAGGAACTTGTGGAAATTAATTATGAGTAATACCTAAATTTTTATAAGGACTTTTATCAATTGATTATTTTGATGATAATAAACCTGTTAATCACTTGCTGAAGTTTGTCATAAATTAAAATATTCCAAATATTTCTGAAATTGTCAGTTTTACATCAAGGCATTTCACAACAGGTCTTATCATAACACCCTAAAGGTTATCATAAACATAACACACAGTGGGTACAGAACACATCAATTTGTCATTGGAAGAGCTCTTTCATTGTGGTAGAAACAGGCCACACAAACGCACAGTTGATATATATGATATTTATTTCACTTTAATGAGTTATTTTTCTAAAAGTTCCATAAAAACACTTGCTAAGATAACAAACTCAAGTGAAGAAATATCATATATAACAGATGCTTGTTATGTAATCTCTGTTTCTCTCTAATTTTTACCCAGGTAATCCTGGCCTGCCTAGAGCAATACACCAAGGTTTGCTGTTCATGTATTTCACATTTAATGTATTATACATATGAAATACAGACACATACACATAGAAATGTGACATGTCCCTTATTGTATAACACACCATTACATGTAATACAGACACGCACACATAGAAATGTGACCTGTCCGTTCCTGTATAACGCACCATTACATGTAATACAGACACACACACATAGAAATGTGACATGTCCCTTCCTGTATAACGCACCATTACATGTAATACAGACACACACACATAGAAATGTGACATGTCCCTTATTGTATAACGCACCATTACATGTAATACAGACACACACACATAGAAATGTGACATGTCCCTTCCTGTATAACGCACCATTACATGTAATACAGACACACACACATAGAAATGTGACATGTCCCTTATTGTATAACGCACCATTACATGTAATACAGACACACACACATAGAAATGTGACATGTCCCTTATTGTATAACGCACCATTACATGTAATACAGACACACACACATAGAAATGTGACATGTCCCTTATTGTATTACCCACCATTTCATGTAATACAGACACACACACATAGAAATGTGACATGTCCGTTCCTGTATAACTCACCATTACATGTAATACAGACAAACACACATAGAAATGTGACCTGTCCCTTATTGTATTACCCACCATTTCATGTAATACAGACACGCACACATAGAAATGTGACATGTCCGTTCCTGTGTAACGCACCATTAAATGTAATACAGACACACACACATAGAAATGTGACCTGTCCGTTCCTGTGTAACGCACCATTAAATGTAATACAGACACACACACATAGAAATGTGACATGTTCCTTATTGTATTACCCACCATTTCATGTAATACAGACACACACACACATAGAAATGTGACCTGTCCGTTCCTGTATAACACACCATTACATGTAATACAGACACACATACATAGAAATGTGACCTGTCCCTTATTGTATTACCCACCATTTCATGTAATACAGACACACACACATATAGAAATGTGACCTGTCCCTTATTGTATTACCCACCATTTCATGTAATACAGACACACACACATAGAAATGTGACATGTCCCTTATTGTATTACCCACCATTTCATGTAATACAGACACACACACACATAGAAATGTGACATGTCCGTTCCTGTATAACGCACCATTACATGTAATACAGACACGCACACATAGAAATGTGACCTGTCCGTTCCTGTGTAACGCACCATTAAATGTAATACAGACACACACACATAGAAATGTGACATGTCCGTTCCTGTATAACACACCATTACATGTAATACAGACACACACACATAGAAATGTGACATGTCCCTTATTGTATTACCCACCATTTCATGTAATACAGACACACACACACATAGAAATGTGACCTGTCCGTTCCTGTACATTCACATATAGAAATGTGACCTGTCCGTTCCTGTACATTCACATATAGAAATGTGACCTGTCCGTTCCTGTATAACTCACCATTACATGTAATACAGACACACACACATAGAAATGTGACATGTCCCTTATTGTATTACCCACCATTTCATGTAATACAGACACACACACACATAGAAATGTGACCTGTCCGTTCCTGTATAACACACCATTACATGTAATACAGACACACACACATAGAAATGTGACATGTCCCTTATTGTATTACCCACCATTTCATGTATTACAGACACACACACATAGAAATGTGACCTGTCCGTTCCTGTACATTCACATATAGAAATGTGACCTGTCCGTTCCTGTATAACGCACCATTACATGTAATACAGACACACACACATAGAAATGTGACATGTCCCTTATTGTATTACCCACCATTTCATGTAATACAGACACACACACATAGAAATGTGACCTGTCCGTTCCTGTATAACGCACCATTACATGTAATACAAACAGCCACACATAGAAATGTGACCTGTCCATTCCTGTATAACGTACCATTACATGTAATACAGACACACACACATAGAAATGTGACATGTCCCTTCCTGTATAATGCACCATCACATGCAATACAGACACCCATGCAGAGCTGATGTAACATGTCCCTTCTCAACTGACATTACCATCTGATACAAAGTATACAATTTTGTGTACAAATAGTTATTTACAGTAACTGTTTATATTTTGTTTCAATTTTCTAAAGCAAACTTTGTTTGCCAAATCTAGGTACAGAGAATCCATTTTCTATGTCAATTTGTTAATTATTTGAAATAGATGACTTCAGTGTAATATTGTATCCTTTGTAGTACATTATAACGTCTAAAGCTATATTTTTCCAATATTTAGAACAAAAAATGAGAAAAAAATACTCTTTCATTTGTCCAGTGAATGATGGGATATTTCACCCTCGGGGTCACAAAATGTTGAAAAGCCTGAGGCTTTGCCTCACTGTCTACACCCGAACATATGAAAGAGTCTTATGACACACAAAACATATTGCAAAGCATATCACCAGAGCTTTAGATGATAAGCGAAAATCTTGGTTTCAGCAATTATCTTGATTCTATTTACGATTATTCACTTTAAAACATTTTATGATCCATCACAGGGTGGTGTAGAAGCTATATAAGTCAAAAGTGTACCAGGGGAGGTAACTGTGATTTAAATTTAATGTTGTAGTAACAGTGTATGAAGGGAAGCTACTGCAACACAGTCTTATGTAGATCCTGTATTCAATTATCCAATACGATAAGCGTAAACAAAAACAAAAATACTTTTCCCTGAGACAAGACATTTTGACTGATTTATCATATAAAGAGTAGCTTCCTCAATAACTAGATATTAACAATAACATCTGTGTGTCCCCTAAATGATACATACAAGTAACATTCAGTATGAATTTGCATGTGAAAATCATAAATCTTTTGGCGATACAAAACATACAGAAAATAATTTCAACTTAATTTCAAATGGGCAAATGGTCCAAATTATATTTTCAATCGTTTAAAGCCTAATTCAGGTTTGTAAGAACATATGGGTGTCATTTCATTTCCTATTCCAGATATATTTCAGTGTGGTTATTTTGCCTTTCTCTGATTGGCTAAGAATTACAGACACAGTGTTGTTGTAAAAGAAATATGCATTCACTGTACAAACTCTTGTTTTGTGTATATAACAAAGTTATCGTTATTACAAATACAATGTAACATGGTTATTTTCTGTTACTTTGAGTTAAACTGGTACTTTGAGTTATAAGAGTTCCACAAAGTTCAACTCCATCACCACATTTCACATGCCTGAGAACCGAAAATTACCGGGGAACTTTTGAGTAAGGCAGGTTCCTCAAATTTTAAAAGTCAACGAAGTTCAAATCTTTCACAACATTTCACATTCCAACATGCCTGGCATCATTTGCCCTTTAAACTACAAGTCATGCTTACCTTGTGGTCAAATGGGTCATCCTTGTCTGCCTGTTTTCGGCCACAGTTACATACAGCCTTTGTCTTCATCTGACTTGAGTGAGCCATTACTGGCAGGTGGGCGTTATCCTCTGTCTCCCCCTCCTCAGGCAAGCGGTGCAACTACAGCCAAAACAGTATAAACACGTCATCAATTTGGTATTATTAATTATTATTATTGGTAAAATTAAGGGGAGATAACTCTTACTTTACTTACACAATTTGTCAGTTTGTGGTTAGGTAACTTTTCATATTTAACAGGCTCTAGTTGGCATAAACTGCAAATACCTGGTAAGTCACTTTTCAGATTACTGTGCTGGAGGTTGTGGCTTTGTAACTTTTGAGATTTACTCCACTGAAATTTGTGATTTGGTTACTTCTCAAACATTCCACATGAGACTTTGTGGTAGGGCAACTTACAAAGCTGTAGTGTAAGGGTCAATAACTTATCAGACTTACCAGGCTGGAGTTTGAGGTTTTAATAATAGTTCCAATTTATTAGTTTAACGTAAATAGCAATGGGAAAACAAAGAAATTTTTAACACTAAGAACAGAAATAAAATGTTCATTATTCATTCAAAACATGTTGTCCAAAATTTCTACAACATGCCATATTTGGTGCTCCACTTCTGGCTATAAGACGGAAATGTGTCGAGTCCAAGATAATACGTTGGCATTCATTTTGTGTAAAATCATATAAGACTTTCATACTTCCTGATCCTGGCTGAGGTTGAATAACTTTTAAATTACAGTCTAACCTGTATTAAACAGCCACTGTGGGGAAATAATGAAAGTGGCCTTTATAGAGAGGTGGCCTCTTAATTGAGGTTCCTTATTTTCGAACCCAAGTTGCGGCAATTTGCACATTGATATTTGAATACAGTTTAATAATCAGGATTGTCACTGTCTTCCTGTACTTGGGAGTTTGTGGTTTTGTCTGAGCTCATATTTCAAGGTGATTTGCCACAATAGTTATAATATGCCTGTATTGTGTATACCAGTGACGTAAATGAAATCAAACTCAATATAAAATGCATGGTGAGTTGTGTTCATGTGCCATCAGCTGTTTTCTTTGTAGGAATGTTAACGTGGCGAGAAAACGTGACTCGCAGTCAAGAAAGCTTGTCAAATGACTTGTGGTCAAAACGGCTGTTTAAACGAGGTTCGATCACGAGTTTGGGGACGAAAAGGGTGGCCGCTGGCTGCGTTAGACAAGTAGCCGTTAAATTAGGTATCATTAATGAGCAAAAGCGATTGGGAAGGTCTGAAAATGGTCATTACAAGCAGGTTGCCTTCTAACTAGTGTGGCCGTTATGACAGGTTTGACTGTACCAGGTTTAAGCTTGAGGTTATCAGTTACTTTGTTCTAGTTTGTGGTGAAGTAACTTGGTTCTAGATGAGGTAAGGATAAATTATTAAGACTTACCGGATTCACACAGTGGTTTCCAGTCAAACTGACTTCCTCACATAGCTGATGTCCATTTTTCCAATATTTCTCACATGCAGCCTCTAATTGTTTTAGGTACTTCTCACATGCAGGACCTCGAGCAAACTGATAAAACACTCGATGGGCCTGAGCAAGCTGTACAGAAAAAACAATGGTATAAACTTTATTTTTAAAAAATTGTGAAACAAAATTATTTCAACTTAAACTAATCACTCAGCAATCACATGCTGGTATGTAAGAGTGCAAGGGGTTTTATATTGAGGGAGGAAACCCTAGTAACCAGGAAAAACCCTCATGGTCATGCAATTGACCCCTTATATTTTCATGTCTGTTCTGTTAATTGAAACCCCGATGAAATGTGAATGCATTACCACTGCACCACTCGACAACCCAAAAAAGGAACACTCATTCGTGTATTCAGTTGAAATTAAAATATCCAGACCAGCTTATTAGATGTCCATTATATCTTCCATAAACAGCAGTTCTAATGTGCAGCATGGTTCCTTCTAGCATGACAGTCCTCTATAAAACTAAGACATTCCTCGACCAGAAACAACCTTATTTGTTCTTTTGTGAATTGATCCTCTGATTTTGTGATACTTTATGTTGTATTATACTCAGACTTACCTTGGTCAGATGAAAGTTAGTGATGTAATGAGTAGGCAGTCCCTCCTGGTATGCTGCTTCAGCCAGAGGCAGTACCTTGTTACATCGACTGAAACATACCAAACACCACATTACACTTTCAATGTAATACTGACTATAACTTACAGAAAATCCCACTTACTTGTCAAATTTTGATGTTATTCACCATAAACATATTTTCTGAGTGCTTACTTTCATGTTTATTTTAAATGATTGAAAATTTAGCAAAATTTAATCCCCAACATATATTTCCGACTACTGTCATCATCAAGACTCCATGGTTATGCTCTCTATCACTCTCTATCGCTCTCTCTACCACTGGAACATGTCATTGCAATATCGAAGACACAAGCAAAGTAATTTGATCAGTCTACAGCAGGTTCCAGGAGAAAGAAACTGACCAATCACAGACTGGTACGCTCCTTTTGAAGATTACAAAGGAGTGACACTCAACGTCAAAGCCATTACAATATACCCTTTTGCAACCACAATATTCATTTGATGTACATCAAAGGATCAAACTAGTCTTGATCAAAAGGTGCCACACATGGAACTTTCAAATTTGCCATGACATAATCCAGGGGTGTAGAGAGTGATAGTGAGTATCATTTCTGTTTATCATTTATATATGGGAATTATTTCCGATGCATGAAAGTGACAATACACTTGAATTTGTATGCACTTAATTATGTTAACAATATAAATTTTATAACAAGCTGTTGACAGAAACATTTTTTATTTTCACACACCTGAGCAATATAAAAATCAGGTTTATAAACAAAACTCCAATAATAACTTAGATATAACTTACGGAATCATTTCCGAGTTTGAATCCAGCAAGAGGAACTTACTTTTCAGAGAAGCGGATATCTGTTTCCAGTAGACTTTTCAGGGTGTTAAAGGTGGCTTGTGCTTTACCACTAACAGTATCACCGAAGAAGAAGTTGTAGAGTTTAGAGGACACATTGAACCAGGTCTGACAAGTTGGCACCTAAAAATGTAGATAATGTGATTCTTTTTCATTTAAAATTCACTATTTCAATATTAATCGTGCAAGCTTAGTTAAAAAATAACAAAAACTAGACACTGACAAAAATAATAACAGGCATTCTGCACTTCAGTGTACTGAACAAAGTTTACTTTTGTCATTAAAAGAAACTGTGCATTTAATATAATAAAATATGTTAACAAACTTTATTGTCTCAAGTAATATAAGGACCTTGTTTTCATGGCTCTAGCCTAACCATGAAAATAAAATGCAATGAATAAGACTTCAGAAGAAAAAACTATGTATGCATTGATTTGACATCCACAAAACATTTTACACTTAAAAGCCTTGTGCATAAACCATAAAATGAAGTTCTAATGAACATTTTATGTGATATAGCACCATTATACATGTGGCTGCAGTATAGACTTATCATTACAAATATCATCTTGTGTGATAAAGTAAACATACATCAAAAATAGGTGGAACTGGGTTCCTTCCAACATTGTCATCAAAACCCCGTCCCAATGCTGTTTCTATGTGCTGTGACAGGAACTCTTTAAAATTGGAGGAGCTGCCTGACCTCTGTGTCCGGGACGATGACCTTGTCATGTCATGGAGACCAGACTGCGCTGACCTCCGATTGGCCTGATAGCTTCTTGGAGAATCTGAAAATTGGAGAAAATTGTTCAGGGCACTGTTTACTACTGTACAAAAATACAAATTCAGGAGAAACTAGAGCTGCTATTAAAATCAGTGATTTTTTGGGACTCTATTTGAGTTCTAGACTCATCATTTGTCTATGGTACTCATCAATATTTTGGAAAATGGCATTCTGGACTCCTACAAAAATAGCTGTTTACAAAAAGCATTTTATATTAATTGTGTTACTCTTGCATTCAATTCTGATATTCAGTCGATGACACCCCAGCCCCTAAGTTACAGACAGACAGTTAGAAAACCTGGTTAACAACACTCCAGCCCCTAACTTATAGACATACTGATAGATAACCCGGTTAACAACACTTCTGCCCTTGACTTATAGACAGACAATTAGGTAAACTGGTAAATAACACCCCAGTCCCTCAGTTACAGACAGACAGATAACCTGGTTAACAACACTTCTGCCCCTGACTTAAAGACAGCCAGTTTGATAATCTGGTTAACAACATCCATCCCCTTTCTCATAGACAGACAGTTAGATAACCTTGTTAACAACACTCCAGCCACTTTCTATAGACAAACAGTTAGATAACCTGGTTAACCACACTCCAGCCCCTAAGTTACAGACGGACACTTAGGTAGCTTAGTTTACAACATCCAGCCCCTAATTTTGTTGTGGGATTTATACTAACCAGAGTCTTTGTTGAGCGTACTGTTGTTCCTTAGCTGATGTAAGTATTGCTGGACTGGATCAGTGACCTCAGGCTGGTGACCGTGGAGGAACACAAATTCCTGGTTAGCTGGTACAGCAAACAGTGAGTTGTTACTGTAATAACATGAAGTAGACTGTTATCTGCTCTAACAGTGTATCATCACTGTATCACAGGTAACTCATATACCTCCTTGTTTATTTGTTTACTGAATGTTCTTTGTTTTAATTTCCATCCACAACATTTCTTACTTATGTACATGTATATTATAAACATTTCCATGACAACATGACTTAAACTTTTGTAGAAATGAGAGCAAATATGTGAAAACCCTACTTCTGTGAAGTGATAAGAAAGCTACATGTACTTTCATTATTGTTAATGGTCCTGACTGATCCATGTTGATGATGTTCATTGTCTGACCAATGGTCTTTTCTGACCTGTTGATGTTGACCTCTGTCTGAACTTTCATCCTGAAGTAATCTGATGCTGATGATGACCCTTATCTAAGAGTAGACATAATGTCACCTTAAATTGACCTATTATTGATGACCCTAGTCTGACCTTTGACCCTAGATTACAGTAATGTTAGTGATAACCCATGTCTGACCTATGACTTTGAATTATAGTAATGTTGATTATGACCCCGGTCTTACCTGTGACCCTAAATTGACCTGTCACTGATGATGACCCTTGTCTTGACAAATGACCCTGGATTATAGTAATGTTGATGATGACCCCTGTTTTACCTGTGACCGTAAACTGACCTGTTACTGACGATGACCCTTGTTTGACCTATGACACAGAACTGACCTGATGTTGGTGATGACTCGAGACTTTCGCAAGATGCGGTATATTTGATCCTCCATGCTGTGCTGCGGTTTACGTACTTGCGATGATTTCTGTTCAAACACAATTAAGAATCAAATCAACATTCAAAATAAAAAGCATCATTTTGTTTTCTTATTTTTGTGGAAATCGTACCCTCAATATTTTAAACTGTAGTATTTGTTACTGGATCTGTCTTAACTAGACGTTATCAATATTGTATACTTACTTTACTAATGGTTCCAGTGTCGACGTCATCTGACAGATGTTCTGGTCTGCCAGGCTTGTTGAAGACAAACAAGACCCGTGGAGAGCAGGGTCGCCCAGAATGGTACCAGTCCTTGGATATAGGCAAGTTCTGTAACTGTTCTGTCACACAGTGCTGTAATTTCAGTCTGTAAGTTAGAGAACAATATCATTATTACAAGGAATTCTAGTGCAAACATAATGTAAAATCTGTAAGATCGGACACAAAAAAACATCGGTGACATTTATAGACAGGACAATTTGTCACTAATAATTTATCAGATGGATGGATGATGGATCATCGATGAAGGGTAATTTGATTTTAGCCTACCATCTGATGATGGTGGGTTTTCAAGCTCACACATCAAGTAATAATACACTTTTTTTCTCAATTAAGATTTTAACAGTGGGATGACATACAAGTTAAACAAAATCACCATGTCATTTTTACTACAAAATATTGATTCACAATGATTCGCCAAATAGCACCTAACCACAATTAAACATTGACTCATTCAGACTTGTATGTAACATCACTGAATCAGACCTGTCATTTCACTTTGTGTGACATTAAATGAAGTATTCATAGACCTCCATCATAGAATTATCGTTTCACAACTTTTTGCTGCTTAAATCATCAGTTATTGACAAATAAAAGCTTCCCTTTCTGTGAGGAAACTTAGAAAATGGCAGCAAATAGGGACTGTCTATTAGCCATTGTAATACTTAAATGTTTTAAATATCTACTCATTAACTATACAAATTTGTCATCAATCTGGACCATTGACAGCTGTCCTGATGACTACATACCTGATAGTGTCGAGGGTCCTAAACATTCGCACATAGCTTATATCAAATGATGATCCTGGATGCGAGAGCTGCAACAGAAAAAAACATACATATATTGGCAAGTTTTAAGAGATACGTACAGGTTACTGCAGTAGCTGTAGTGAACCTGACATATGTCGAGATCAAATATAGATCTGGTCTGAATCAAACTGTTAGCTGTTACAAATAGTGATCACGTAGTGTTAAACATCAGGTATTCAGCCTTGCTGCCAGCGCATGATTGAACTGTCTAAGGGGACTGAGAACTATCATTTATACAAACTTTGTTCCCTTTCCCCAAAGGATGCTTTGGTCAAAATCCTGTAGGTCCTTTATGATTAGCAGCAATATTTAGGGAAAAAATTGACGGACATTTGGCAGTTGCCACAATATGCCCATAAGCTCACTTGGCCCTTTGGGCTATGTAAACAAAAATCAGTAACATCGACCTTGACCCAACAACCCTGATATTTATACTTGTCCAAAATATAAGGATCCTTTATAAGTGTAACATTACATACTTGTGTACAGGAACATCCCTATATCCCCTATATACCAAAGGAGATAATTACACATTGTTACAATGTGGAACATGTAGTAAGGGGAGACAACACAAATATTTGTCTAGGTTACACAGAAGAAATAACAAACAGAGACAAGGGCTCATTACTTACCAAGACTATATGAGATACACTGAACATCCATAGTAATGTTTTAGTCGTCTTATACTCATCCTTCTGCCACAGGGAGAACAGGTCCTGAAACAGAACACCCAACAAGTGTCACACATGGAGTCACTGGTCTGAAAAAGAATATCCTACTAATAGGGCAAAGGAGTCACTGGCCCTGACACAGAACACCCTACAAATGTGACAAAGGAGTCACTGGCCCTAAAAAAGAACACCCTACAAGTGTCACACATGGAGTCACTGGTCCTGAAACAGATCATCTTTCAAATTTGACAAAAGAGTCACTGGCCCTAAAAATTAACACCCTACAAGCATGACAAAAGGAGTCACTGGTCCTGAAACAGAACACCCTACAAGTGTGACAAAAGGAGTTTCTGGTCAAGAAATAGAATATCCTATCAATAAGGCAAAGGAGTCACTGGTCCTGAAACGGAACGCCCGACAAGTGTGACAAAGGAGTCACTGGTCTTTCATGAAACAGAACATCCTACAAATGTGACAAAGGATTCATAGCATTTTCCTGAGACAGAATACCCTACACATTGAACTGTAACAAATCTGTCACTAGTCCTGTAAACCTTACAACAATGATAAGGAAATCACTGGAACACTTAATGTTAATGTAAAAGTTACTACAGTTTTTTATGACCAATCAGGATTTATAACAAGATAAAAACAGATGGTCACTTTAATTATTTGAAAACTGAGTGACTGACCTGTGCAGACTCTTCCTTGACAAGCTTCTGAGACAGCATGGCCAGTCGGTGGACATCATAAAGACTGCGATGATGGAGGTATACAGCCTGGCCCTCATTGTCATAATAACATTCAATATCGCCCTGAAAACAGCCAATCAGGCCAAAATCAGAATCTCAATTCTATAAATAGCTTATAAACAGCATGAGTTAATCTAGTATTTGGTGAATACTACCCGCTGTGGAAAAGGGGAATTTTTGGCCTACTCTAAGAATGGATAAATTTCAGATAGCCCTGTTGGTCTTGATTCAAAAGGGGGATGGGATCAAAATAAATAGCATACATGCAGATTACATGAATGAAATATGACAATGTTGAGGTTAGAATATATCTTTTTCATGATGGCATGATTTCAAAAAAAAGTTCAGAAAAATATACTAATTAGCTGTGTTTTTGGGAAAACTTTTTCCGGTTTTAGGGAAATTTTCCCAAGTTTCCAGTATATTTTCATTATGGGAAATTGTTTATATCCAGAAACATACCATTTGGGTATTACTACCCTTTTCTGGTAGTGAAATTCGTCCAGATTAATCCCTGGACCGTGTAACCATAGGCCACACAAAGATTCACATAGTATGTACCTAGGTATGAATACACATCAGTCTTATGGAACATAGTCCTGGTGATAAAGAATGGAGAAAACTTTGCTGTGACTTTTGAGATTGGTAGCTTCATGAAAAATTTCTTTCAGTTCAAGTACGTTTAAATCAATACTTACTTTTTCTGTAATCTCTTGTGCAGCCCCAGGTACACACTGAAGTAAAAACAGAATGTATATCAATTTGTATTCTATCTATTTGATTGATAGATTAATATTCTGATATAGAAATGAGCTTCAATTCCTTGAAAACCAATCTGATCACAAAGCTGGAAGCAGAAAGATGAAGCACCTATAATTTTAAAGAGGCATTCATAATATAACTTTCCAAACTTGTGCTAACACTGAAAAAAGTCTTTAACTTTATTACTTATCTAAATAGTAAGAAAAAACAAACTTTCAATAACAAGACCTTCAAATAGATTTAATTATAAACAAGAGATCCCACAGGGATCTTGGCGCCCACCATTTGAGGATCTGTTTTCAGTTCTTGAAGATTTGTTTATTTTTTTTTTGTGTTACAGGTTTTGTAAATGTTCATGAACTGGTCTTCATTGAATGTACTCAATGATGGCACAAGATATTTTTATTAAGCACCTATTAGCAAATATCATTTGAAAAAGATCCCAAAGTATTATTAGATAGCAGTCAGTTACAGGTGGATAATAGACATGGTCTTGAATCAATATGATAGAATATCGAAGAAAATATGCTTGTGCTGTATTACTGTCGACATCCAAGATGGCTGCCTGTCAGCCATCTTGATTTCAGATCAGTCCAAAAAGGTACAATGCACAACTAGGGACCAAGGGGAACCTGCATATGAAATTTGAGAAAGATCCATCCAGTACTTTCCAAGAAATAGCAATAACAAACTTTTACTTCCAAAATCCAAGATGGCCGTCTGTCAGCCATCTTGAATTCAAATCAGTCCAGAAAAGGTACAGTGCACAACTAGGGACCAAGGGGAACCTGCATATGAAATTTGAGAAAGATCCATCCAGTACTTTCCCAGAAATAGCGGTAACAAACTTTTACTTCCAAAATCCAAGATGGCTGCCTATCGGCCATCTTGAATTCAAATGAGTCCAATAAAGGTACAATGCACAACTAGGGACCAAGGGGAAACTGCATATGAAATTTGAGAAAGATCCATCCAGTACTTTCCCAGAAATAGTGGTAACAAGAATTGTTTACGGACGGACAGACCACGGACGCAGGGCGATCTGAATACCCCACCATCTGATGATGGTGGGCTAAAAACTTAACAGATAATCAACTACAAGGCCAACAGTGAGATAAACTTAAATAGCAAGATATCACAAACAAAATTAAATACTGATATTATATATCTAAAGATTCCAAATGGTTGCTATTTGATAATGCATCCAAAATCTGTGGGTCCAAGATTTACTTTCTTGAGAACATGAAGTGGTTAAAATCAAGCACATTTCTTATTTTGCCTCATGCAAAGAAAATGCAAAATAAAACAAGCATCCCACAGGGATCTTGGAGTCCAGCATGTTTGATTTTTACTTATTCTTTAAAAGTCAAATCTTTTCCTTCTTTTCTCTTCTGTCCTCTGGTTTTGCTCTTACCAAGTAATAATAAGAAATCTGAATAATCCTTTGCAGAAATAGAGAAAATAATCTGTTTCAGTAACTACCAAATCCAACATGGTCGCCTGTCAATTATTTGGTTTTTCTGATCAATCTCAAAATTAAACAGGCACAATTTAGGACTGTTATTTTCAAGAAATAGCATTAACAAACTTTACCAGGCACAATCCAAGATGGCAGTCTGTTGGCCATTTTGTTTTCTGATATGTCAAAAAATCAAACATGCACAAGTAGGGACCAACGGACACCTACATATGAATTTTGAGAGCAATCCCTCTGGTACTTCTTATGAAATACTGATAACAAACTTTCTTTTTCAACATCAAAGATGGCTGCCTGTCGGTCCTTTTTTTAAGTAATCAATCCCAAAATCAAACTGGTACAACTACAGACAATGGGGAACATACAAATGATATTTGAGAGATCAGAGACCCATCCAGTATTTCTAAGCAAAAAGTGATATCAAACTTGATTGTAAAAATCAAAGATGGCTGCTTTTTAGCCATTTTGTGTTTCTGATCAGACCCAAAATAAAATCAGCACAATTAGGGACCAAAGGGAACCTATATATGAAATTTAGAAAAGATCCATCTGGTACTTCTCCAGAAATCATAGTAATAAAAATTGTTTACGAACAGATAGACAAATGAAAGACCATGGAAGTAGGGCATATAGAAAAGCCCATCATCTGATGATGGTGGGCTAAAAAAATGTCAACAATGATATACAGTATTATGGTATTGCATATTTTAAGAAAACTGAATGTACATGCATGTAAATATTTCATTTCAAAGTATCACACAGAAATATCATTTTTATCATGTTCTCACCTTAAAGACATCCTTCTCCAACAGAGGGTTTAGTATGGAGGCTTTAGAGGCAAATCCACTCAGCTCACTTTTCCCAATGATCGAGATCACCACCACTTTCTTGTCCTTGTTGGGAAAAGTGCTGCCAAGTAAAACAGGAACACATCATAACATAGTAAGGTTTGTTAAAATGTTATGTTAATGCTTATGCTAATATTTAAAATGTTCCATTAACTTTATTTATTTTACAAAAAATGCAGAACAAGCTTTAAGCGTATATTAATCAATCTTGTTGGCCCTGATGGAAGAGTGCCTTTCTATGAGAGGTAACCAGAAAACCTGATTATCAGTGGTCTTTTGTGTTTGAACACATTTCATGTGGAGACTTTTAGAAAATCTACTTTACCCATAGCTAATGTTAACATAGAAACCTATGACAGCATTTTCACTTTCTTTATTTTTTTTGCTTACCTTTGATTTTTACTGAAAACAATTAGATTTTACTCTGGCATGAATTAAAATTTCTTTATTCTTCCAAGTAATTGGTGTATAACGCCAACGAATATCATGATGTTACAACATATACACATGCATAAAAACGTCAACATCAGAAAAATAGCGTGATTAATCATTCAATGTAGCATGCCACCAAAAAAAATCTTCATTTCTCCAAACACTAACAAGTCAATAAAAATGTGTCATTATTATATTTTCTTGATACTTTCAACCGAGAATGCCACTGTGGCATGTAAGCCACGCTCTTTCCAGGCAGTGCATGTCTCATATTATGCGAAGCCATTCAAAAGTACTTGTATGATTGAGTGGACTGAAATTAAATTTGGTTGTTTTCGCTCCAGATACAGATAAGACTGGATCAGCTGTGAGATGAGAGATTGAGTCTTGTGTTCATGTACTTTCAAATATTTCCTGTTATACAGATATAAGAGTGATTAAATCAGAATAAAATATGCATAATTTTGTGGCAAAAGCAACGTATTGAATATAAAATAAGGTATGAAAAATGGCTTTGCTTACTGTGGGTCCAAAACTAAGGGAAACGACAACACTCCTAAGGGCGCAGCCATTTCTTGTTTCATTATCCTTATGGATAATCACGAAAATATTCGAAAGGAATTACTTTACGTTCAAGATTATTACTATGTACATTTAAGAGACCTTCCGAAAATACTAATTTTATCACGGGATCTCAAACGTTTGGCACGAAACCTGTAAATTTGAGCTTCTACATAACGCTGATTTGACCGACCTTGTCAACATCAAGGTCACTTTGCCGGTATACGTTTAAGACATCAAAGATGGGAGACAGAAAATTTTTCGTTGGTGGCAACTGGAAGATGAACGGCTTGAAACCCGATATTGACGAAATTGTTGCGTTCATGAATGCAGGACCTTTGAACGAAAATACTGGTAAGCTTATGACACTGATGCAGTTCCGATCACAATAAATGACCACAGGCAGCTGGGGGTTACATTCCATCTTGTACAGCCTACAGGCCTCCCTTCTGTCTTAAGACCCGGTTTTTACTATGGAAAACCCCGATCTTAAAAATGTAAAATAACCGAGGAATTCATATATGATGTTTAAATGCATTGATATTCATGTGTCAATGACAACGAACAAAGAAAACAGTTTATCAGATTATTTTGTTGGAGCACAAGCTGCTGTCTGCAGAACTCATTTATTTATTTTATTTTACTTTTGGTGTATGTGTGTGGTTTTTTTTTGCGCGTCTCCAGAGAATCGACTACATTGGACAATGGCCCGCAACGGGCAGAGTCACAGAGACGAATAACCATCATCATCATCATTAGGGTTTTTCAGTAGCGTGTGAGGGGGTGAGAGTGTGTGTGTGTGTGTACATGCAGAGTGCACATGTATGTATAATATGTGTATGTAGGCTAGATTGTATACTGGTAAGTATGGATATCTGATGTTTGAATGTGTTTATATGCATATCTATAGATATATCAATGATTATAGTGGTGATATTGATGTGATTCTGTTATAAAATTGGAGATATGCATATTGTTATGTCATATGTGTGCAAAGGTGTATTTGTGAAAATGCATATTGCCACATTATGATTTCATTGTTGTATTTGATTCATTGTATTGAATAAAATGATAAGTTTCAGTAGCATTATTAAGCATTTAGTTATTTTCATACATACAACACTACATGTAGGGAATGTCCTGTAGATTTAAGGGGATGTACTGGAACTCAAGTCCTGGCACATTGGTGTACATTGTACATGTACCCAGGTAGTTCAGAAATAAGGGGAACATTGGAGTTTTCAGGTTCACAGGTGTAAACAAAATTATTTAATGTTAACAATGAAATATATAATAAGAGAAAGCACAGGGCAAGATATAGTATATATACATTCTAAAAATAGATCCTGTGCATGATTATTATTGGTATAATATATGATAAGTCCCCAAACAGGGACTTGAGGAGAGAGTTTTACATGGTATCTGTCAATCTTTCTGCTATCTTGTCCAGATTCAATCTGAGCCCTACACTACATGTCAATGAATCTTCATACCTGGGATATGGGGTCACTTTGGTGACATGCATGGTGTGTCATGTATCAAAAGAGGGTCACTCTGGCATGCATTTTGACCTTTGACTTACATCAAAGAGAAAGTTTGTCTAAACTCCAGCTTCTACTGATCACTGGAACTTCATACTTGAGTTAAAGGTTCATCTTGGTGCTGTGGTGTGTCCTGTATTGAAAGAAGGTCACTCTGACCTATATTTTGACCTTTGACCTACACAAAAAAGTTATTGATAGCACTATATCCTACACTGCTAGTCATTGGAACCTTATACTTAAGGTGTGTGTTCAAGTTGTAATTTTTGTAGGATTTTTTTCTGGTGAGTCCAGATCACCATTTCCAAAAATTTTGCTTAATCCAGTCACTTGAAAAAAAATCAATGGGTTCTCAAAATTTGAGCCAGTTCCACAGGAAAAGCATGAAATCAGGACTCAAATATTTATGTATATTGTATAGCATGGCATTACTTGGTTTGAATTTCGTGTCCGCTTTTGACTCCCATGCTTCCAAGCTAAATTTAGGCAATGTTGGAGTACATCATAATTGTTATTCATACTTTTCATTGACAAGTGTAAGGTCATGTCATCTATAATTTGTAAATAACCTTACCTTTGATTTTACATGTACTTCTTGATGTAGGGCACTGATATATTCCAGAAGATTCTTGGTGTTCACTTCAAAATAGTAACATGATGGGTAAGGAAACTGATGTGTCACCTTCTACTTATTAATTAATGAAATAATTCAGGAAATATTTGATTCACATCAGTGTTTGACTACTAGCTGATACCAATACAGATGAAGTTTATGAAATGTGTAGGTCATCGTTGTGGCTTGTTTGTTTCGGTTGTTGGAGACATTTTTTTTGTGTGTGTTTAACGACTGAGTGCATCGATACAGAACACCAATATTTGGGAATTCATTATATATTTTATAACACATGGGATGTTAGACTGCTTTATTCCATAATGCAACATCTAAGCCATTAGTTTCAACCTTTATCTTTTGCAGAGCTTTACAGTTGTAGTCGATGGTTCAATGAGACTGCTTTGTAAAGATTGCAGTGACATGCTGTTGGCTGATTAATTCAGTTTGTTGTATAGAATTGATAATTCATCAAAAAACAAAAATAAGAGAAAATGAGAGTTTCATAAGTTGTAGATAAATCATTTTACGATTGGTTCTTGATTTAACCAATAGTAAACATGGCTCTAGGTTTGTTTAGCCTCTGTCTTTAAATGTTGATGTAAACAGCATACATCTTTCATGCATCCAGAACCCTGCTGATGTCCTAGGTTTTTCTTGGCTTGAGTGGTAAAAGTGCTGGCTTCTTGAATGTTTTTCTTTAGTTGTTACTCATTCTGTACCATGTATCAAGAGACATGATGAACAGTTGGTAAAAATCAACAGTGCCACAATTTTCCATAATTTTGGATACTTTTCCCCTATAATTTACCATGTATTATCTCCTGTTTTGATTTAAGTGATGGTAGCCCCCTTAGTAATGTTGTATTCTTTCTAACAATTTTTTTAATTTCCCAACTATTTCACAGATGTTGTAGTCTCTCCGCCAGCGATCTACTTGGATTATGCCCGACAGAAGTTGAACGCCAACATCGGTGTCGCTGCACAGAACTGTTATAAAGCTGGCAAAGGAGCATTCACAGGTGATATCAGGTTTGTAAGAACTTTATGATTATTTTGTCTTGTACATGAGGGTCGAGTCCTAGGCCAGCTACTACAAAGCGTCAATGTCTTAAATTGACCCTGGATGTTCATGGAAGGACAGAACCATCAAGAAAACAAACAGAAATTGAAAGTTCAATGACCAGATGATACAAATTAAGCACTGTGACTTAGCTCATAATTTTGTCACACAGATGAAAGTCTGTATGCTATATTTAACACCATCATAACAGAGAATTATCTTGTCCTTATCATTAAGTTTTGAATTTATGACAGTAAAAACACTTTTTTTTCAACATATGATTGAGGTATTAAAATTTACGTTCAATAACTTAGTTCTTCAGCAAGATTACAAGCATCATAATTATGTATTTTACAATTTCTTCCAGAGCAGCAACTGTCATAACTATTTTCTTTATTCAAAAGGCTCCAATGAAATGTTTTAGAACCTGCATTTATAGAAATAAATATTTCCTATTGCTAAAATTATGATTTGTTTTGAAACATTGCCTTATTAATCTTTAAAGCAAAGAGAAAATATTTAATTTTCATAAATTTCAATTCATTTATTGTTTAAATTATAACATGTTCTAAAAAGCAAGAAAATGATTATTTCATTCACTACTGTATATATGATATTTATGTACTTCTATTTAAGCCCTGAAATGATAAAAGACTGTGGATGTGAATGGGTTATCCTTGGACATTCCGAGAGAAGGAATGTATTTGGTGAAAATGATGAGGTACGAATGTAAACCCTTCTTTGATTTTATATCACATCAGTCAGGGCTTTTTTCTACTGGTTTGGAATAGTTATTTTTGTCTCATTTTGGGAAGAAAATTATTCTGTGATGTTTTAGAGCATGAGACAATTCAACGAGAATTTATATTTGCTGTTTGTTTCTCTGTGTAGCTGGTTGGTGCAAAGACAAAGTATGCACTCTCACAGGGACTTAGTGTCATTGCCTGTATAGGAGAAAAGCTTGAAGAGAGAGAGGCAGATCAAACAATGGATGTAGTACAACGACAGACTACAGCACTGATAGGTACCATTTTTAGCTATTATAGGGCTCCATCTTTCATCCTTTTTGTGTGTCAGTAAATGTTTTAGGTCACCTGGCCCAAACAATATCATCCTGGTTTGATCAGAGGAAGTTTTTATGAATATGATTTTTATTTGACAAGGCTGTGAACGAATAGGGACCCATATTATTTCAGATATTATCATAATTGAAGTTCTTTGTTGAACGACTGAAAAGCTGAATCAGCCTGGTGAGTGATACAGGCCCCAAGGACCTGTTGTTTGATGATATAAATAAACATTGTATGAGCAATCAGTGGATGATTCTGGACAAATGATCTTAATTTTGTGTTCAACTGAAGTACAATATGGCCACCACAACCAGCAATGAAATGTGTTATGAAAAATTACATAAATTTCTGATCATTGGGAAGATAACTTGAGATTGAAATATAATTCGGAACTAAGGCTTTGGCAGTAACATATTATGGAGGGAAGAGGTGGATATAATTTGGGATTACTACAATCAATGCTTGAAATTTAATTAATTTACTGTTAATGTTTGTTTTGCTGTTAACTATGTATAATATTGCTGGCAATATTTGCTGTTTCCTTATCAAGAAAAATTCAGGGAACTTTTAAAACAATTGAAACTAAGCATGCTGTGAGAGGCCACACATGGGAATACTCATCTATTTATAACTTTTCTTTATATACCAAGTACAGTGTTATGTATTGTCAGCTCAAATGGAAGAATTATTGCTTGACTTGAAATCGTTCTTGTCATAAATCGATACATAGGTCACCATAGGTCACAGGTCAATGAATCCATCAATACAAATCAACATATTATATTGTTATTTACACATATTATAGCAATCTGAAGTTCAGTCATAATTGATATAAAGGTCACCACAGATCATGGGTCAAATTAGTTTACCCGTTTGTTCTTAATTTGGTTTGTTTCACGAACATCTCCTTAATGCCAGTGAGGGCATTTGTGTTACTCCAAAACATATACAGGGCTCTCGATCTGCCAGATTTAGGGCCGATATTCGGCCCCATTCCCAATGCAAAATAGTATCTTTTTTTTCCCAATTTAGACCCCAAGTTTCCCCAATTCTAAGGAAAACACCATTTTTCTCAATTCAAAGGGCCCCGGGCCCCAGTCCCAAAATGGGGTGTGAGAGCCCTGATATAGTTTAGATAGTTACCATAACTGCTTGTTGTTATTTTGAATAAGAATAAGTTAGTGAATGTTAGCTTTGTAGCATATGCTTGGAAAACTTAACATTTCATGATTGGTGATGGTGGTTTTCACCTTTAAGCTTGTATTGAATTTAAGAATCAATTTATGATAATATTTCTTGGTCCACCTTGTTGTTTCTATGGAATTGGTATAAATTGTAGTACAAAGTTGTATCATTATTAAATTTTATGTATATATTGAATAGTCAATGAAATGTATATCTTTTAACAAAGAAAACATTGGAGACAACTGGGGGAAGGTGGTACTAGCCTATGAACCTGTGTGGGCTATTGGTACTGGTAAAACAGCCACACCTGACCAGGCCCAGGAAGTACATCAAAAACTGAGGGCATGGCTTGCAGGAAAAACATCTGATACTGTGGCACAGAGTCTTCGTATTATTTATGGAGGTGAGCTGGAGATCATTTTGTTGTATTTTTTTATGGTGAAATGGTAGAAACGATCAGATTTCTAAAAAGTTGACATCCAATCTTTTAAACAAGTGTTGTTTCTGGAGACAATGTTTTACAAACAACAAAAAAATCCCCAAAGAAACATCCAAACATACATCCATTATTTGATTGTTTTAAGCGACAAAGTTTTATAGAAAACTGCTGAAATCAGATCTGTCAAATAATTGTATATTTTGGGAGACCAAGATTTACAGAAAAAAATGATCAGATCTGTTTAATATTACAAATAATGGCTGCCAAGATCTGTCATAGATTTGTGTGTTTTAGGAGACTCATTTTTACAGAAAAAAATGTCATAAGATCTGTCAAATATTTGTTTCTTTTGGTAGACAAACTTTTACTGTAGAAAAACTGTTTGATGTGTTTGTACTATGATATTCATTGTTATTAGCTATGATTTAGGAGACTGAGTTCCAATATATATTTCAATGTATCCCTTTTTTTATTTAACAGGATCTGTCAATGCTGGTAATTGTAAGGATCTAGCCCAGAAAGAAGACATTGATGGTTTTCTAGTAGGTGGTGCTTCCCTCAAACCCGACTTTGTGAAAATTGTGAACGCCAAGGAGTAACATTCCATTTAACTCACACTGAAACAAAGTGCTTGTTGTATACTGACGGAGCAGCCCTGGAACGGTTCATGGACAATGTGTGTGCACAAGAAACATCACCTGTAGAGATTGCATGTGCTTAAAACAGAGCTGTTGCTAAAATAAAGTGCTTCTGTGAGTGAGCTACATGTTTGTACATGAAACACAAGGTTCATCACAGCATTAGCTTCACCACAAAACATTGATGATTGTAAATTTATAACCTTTTGAATTGAAGGTGTAGTATATATATCCCATGGTTAAAATGGTTCTTGTTACTACTCATAACAATATGTATGCTGAGTCCTTTCATTTCAGAGATTTTTAATAGGAATATTTTTATGTGTGTAAGCCTTATTATAAAGGCAGTCCCTGCTAATCTCCTACCAGCTTAGTGTTGTTACAGTCATTGCAGCAGTGTATTATCATTTGCTGTATAAAATCTCATGTAAACATTTGAAAAATAAAAGATATGTGAATAAATATCGTTTGTCTTTCTGTTTTGTTAATTCAAAAATATTTTTATTTTTTAATACAATATATACAAGTACGCATTGTTAAATTTAATTACAGTCCAAGTATTAACAAATTGATAATACTACAAGCCTACATCATACAAAAATAGATACTGTTTTAGAATTGTTTATATCAGAACAGAAATAAAACATTAAAGTATCACAATCTTACACAAGACAACTTCAAATAGATTTTTTACATAGAGGCGATATATAACTGAACACAGGATATTTAGTGATTAAAGGGAGAGCAGTCTTGTTGCCTATAGAAAACTTTATACTTATTCTGTCTGGTCGTGCCACATGGCAAGGCGAACATCTATGATAGAAGCATTACGGATATGTGAGATGGTGAACTTTACCTTTTTCGTTGGAAATTTAATAAATATATCCAAAACCATTTTTACAAAAAATACTCAAATTGGGATAAGTTTAGTTTTATAAAGAAATTGTCTTTGTCTTGTTCTACATTGTACAACTCTAACACACCGACATATAAGGGCGTAGCCGCCGTTTTTTGTATCATTTTTCTAGTCCTCATCCTAGAGGTCACAAATCCTTGATATTCTAGGAGTTGAAATCACTTTCCCGTGGAACATGTCAGGGCAAAATTGAACGCTCAAGCGATGTGTTTTGATTGGTTTTTGGGGGAAAAATGACCAATCACGGGCTGATATGGTATACCTTTATTTTATACCCCAATATTCGTTTCATGTACATTAAAGGATCAAACTGGTCTCTTCGTCTTGTCCACTAGGTGTCGCACGTGGAACCTTCAGTTTTGCCTTGACATGTTCCAGGGGTGTAGAGAGCGGAAGTGATCGTTATGCATAGAGTATGGAGGATGAGAGGTCCCAAACTTCGGCTGAAATGTTCAATGCAACCTATTGTACTACCCATTATCGGCAATTCGCATGCACAAGTCCGACAACCTATCTGCACTGCAAAACATCCAGCATGTTACTGTAGTTTGAAATCCATTTCAAAGATATGCTCAATAAGATAAAAAGAAGTTGCTACTACCGGAAGAATTGCTTCACCCTGTTATAATACTGTTAAGATCGAAAATTATCATATCTCATTCAGGACAACGCATTTGTTACCAGATAGCATTGGATGAATTTTTAAAAACATTTAGGATCTTACAAGAAAACAACTTGCAGCTATGAATTTTTGAAAATTTGGGATTTGATACATAATGCTATTTTAAACCGGAACGTCCGGACAAATAATGCCTTGACACAAATTTCCTTGCGAATTTACTGTTAGATACAGTAGAGTCAAACGATGAATTAAACTGCACCTTACAACCGCTTCGTCATTCTAGGACTCGTCAGTGATGGCAAGAACCTTTTGTTGTGAAAGCCGTAAGCTTGAAATTGGCTTTGGAAAATGATATTGTGTTTCTAAAGAGCAGTTACATGGTTATCATTATACAATCTGCTGACATCTTGCTGTCAGCAACTGACACCATTTCATCCGTCATTAATAAGGAACACAAAAAATACCGTCATCCGTCATTATTAAGGAACACACAGAACACTGCCGTCCGTCATTAACATTGAACACAAGAAATACTGTCATCAGTCATTAACAAGGAACACAATAAATACTGTCATCCGTGATAAACATTGAACACAAGAAATATCGTCATCCATCATTAACTAAGAACTCAAGAAATACTGTCAGCCGTCATTAACATTGAACACAAGAAATACCGTCATCCATCATTAACTAAGAACTCAAGAAATAATGTCATCCATCATTAACAAGGAACAGGTGAATTAATGTCATCTGACAATAAACAACGGTACTGAATTCGTTTTATACAAGCCGACCTTGGTGTATATTACAGCAGCATTAGACTTTCCACCTCAGTTAATGTAGCTAGGATAGTCATATCTATTGTATAACAACAACAACCCGTCACCGCATTACTTCCGGCTGATTAAATCTTGCTGTCTACTCTATTTCATGGACAAAGTGAATTGTTTTACATGATTGTTAGGGAGAGATTATAATGCTCTTTAAACTATATGACTTTATTTTCTTAATGTCTATATTGAAATTTTGCTATATTCAGCAATTCATAAGCGGAGATGGGTGAAAATAAGTCAACTATATGTAGTCAACACGTGCGTGAATAGAACATCTACATCCCATATACCTACAAATACAATATGGTTGATTATTAATAACACATTATAAAAGAGTATTTTTTCAACAGCTTTTATTGAGGGAAAGAGTGTACAAGCAAAGGGTGTAATTGACATAATTGCAGGTACCGTGACTTCATTTGCTATGTAAGTTGAGCTTGGCCACACAGCTGTGCAGCCCTAGACACAGATTATTAAAATTTTGTCAATTAACGGCACAGTGTATATTTTTCATCCCGAAATAAAATTAACCGACAAAGCACGGAATCAAAGTTTTAGTTGATGTCGTGTGTGGTTTGTGTATTTCATGAGAAAGTTGTTGATAATCTCTTTTTAAAACAACATCCGCGTCTGTAACCATGACGACAAACAAATTTGAATTTCATTCGTTCGGAAAAAAACCAGTCACCATCTTTGATAACTTAATATTTAATTATTGGTGCACACATAAACTAATTAAGACATCAATACAGGATTATGTTTAATTATGAATTACTCTTTAGATTAAATTTCCGTTGGTTTTATACAAAAGTCAACTGAATGATGTGTTATTAAGTGTGTTACTCATCTACAAAAAACAGATAGTTATTTTGTTTTGCTGACGAAGTTGGTAATACGCCAATGGAATCGAAAACCGCTGTATTGAGGATACAATGGCGGCATCGTGTGTCAATCACTTCAGGAGTTGACGATTTATCTCCAAGAGAAAAAAAACATTACTGCAGAACAGTTCTCTAAACTTGTTACAAAATGTTAAGACTGTCAAAATGCTAACCAGGCATTCTGGCTGACGGAATCGACATCAGCATGGAAAACGCGAAAGAGCTGGAAACTGGTAGTATGAAATAATCCGCCGGACACTGCATACATCCACAACACGATAGGCTCGTCACTTCCGGTAAATGGAAGTTCAGCAGCGATGGGGATCGTGTAAGTTCAAAGGGATTTGTACAACATCGTATTCCACAAAAGCAAGGTTCCACATCTGCTGCTTCTGGTGGCTCCGGTGCTTCCAACGTCTCCAGTTCCGGCCGTTCTAGAGGTTCCGGGAGTTCTTGATCCGGGCTTTGTATGGGGCGGTCTTGTAAAAAAAGAGAAATAATATAAAAAAAACCCCATTTTTTTTATACCAACGCAAAACAAAGTTAATCTATCATATTAATCAAATGGTGATAGTATCAAATAACATTGATGTTTAATGAAATGATCCTTACATCTGTAGTCGTTCAGTAACGAATATCTATAGTTTACTAACAACAATTAAGTCGTGTTTGACCGGAAGTAGGATATAAATCAGTACAAGATACACTCCAGACGGTAACATCTGTGACTTTTGTGTTTTAATATTCTTAATATATAGCTGTACTCATAATCCAAGGATAATTCTATATCATTGTAATAAAAAAAGAACTTTTAAAAAAATTGCTTTGAAAATATCAAAGATGGCCGTATTTCAGTTATTTTTATGTCTAAATTACTTTCTGAAATCTAACCTTTTAAGAAAAGATCTTGATACCAAAAGTCAAAAATTCAATTTAAGAAATTTTGGCGATCAGATTTCTACCGTTATCCTTAGATAAAATATAATAAATAACACTAGCTGATACTTACTTGTACCTACCAGCACATCAGTCTGACCGGAAGTGGGCGTGGTCAATGACAGGAGGACTATTGCAAGACTGAAAAAAATTCAATGATCTGTTAAGATTTAATTAAAGATATTTTATTGTTGTAACGATAGATAATATGATTGACACAAGTTATTATAACATTCTCAACGCCTATGATAAAACAAGTGCATATTTCAACATTTGGGATAAAAAAAACATCAAAATGTATGATTGTGGTAAAATTTTACCCGAAATTACGATAACAAAATATAACTTCATTAATGTAACGTAATTAAACGTTGCATTTTTCAGCAACGCATTCAGGTATTTCATAAGGATTAAATGACTCATGTGGTAACTGATGCTTTCGAAATGCATGACAAATGTTAAACACATGAATGTACATTATAAATAAGTAAATATATCGTAAAAATAACTTCGAATACCGAAATACGTTGTAACACTATAACGATAAGAAATTCCACATTTTAAATTGCAACGAAACTAGCATTCACGATTTTCTACAAAATCACTAGGAATCACAGTAACAAATATACATTATGTACAATTATGAATTAGAAAAAGAAAATGATTTCCTACACTCACCATATTACTATACCATACAAGCGAGTTGACTCCATGTTGACGCCACACACCAGATAAAATTCCGTGCTAGTAAAACACACCAAGCTCCTAGCCCAGTGTTGATAGGCACGGCTGTCAATTATATACCAACAAGCACGTGACTTCAGATCTGGTAAAACGACGTGTTCTTACATCATTTTCTTGATCCAAAACAAGCGGAGCGTGTCCAGCGTAGGTTGTATTTCCCCTGTAAACTGTATTTGTACCGGAAACTGTAACCCATATACATTTGTATACCAGGTCATGACGCTTTACATCACATTTCTAGAAACGTGTCAACTGTTTAAAATAAGTTTAATTAGCAATCCAGCGAGTGATTTATTCGTGGTCAAATTACGTTTCCGTCCTTCACGATTACGCTGGAAATAGATTCTACTTGTAAACGAATTCCAGCAATATTTGAGATCGTAGTAATAGTATAATAACGCCCTTGTTGATCCTCTGATCAAACAATTATTGCCATCTTTCGTACACAAAGAACACGTGGAACACCATCAGCCGTCATTATTAAGGAGCACAAGATATACTGTAATCCGTCATTAACAAGGAACACGTGA